TCTTCTTAGATGTGTTCAATAGACGGGGGATATTAAGACCTTAGGGTCAACGCATCCGGTGGACCCTATACCGCATCCGGTATATACCCGGTGAGTACGACCGGAAAAGGGCTTAATAAATTAAATGATATTCGTGTAGAGACGATTGTGAAAAAAGAAAGGGTCGGTTCAAGGGACGGTTGTAGTGTAACACGCGTTTCAAAAACGGCTCATAAAATTAATGTATCCTTCTTTTGGTTATTTTGGAAACGTGCTGCGAACAATAAAAACGCTTACCTATTGTACTAATGCACTCGTACTCGTGAGTGCTATGTAGACAAGAAATTTTTTTTTTTTTCGGATCGAAGGTCAATCGATGGTCGCATTCCGAAAAAAACCTACAGTAAAAGATACAATATACTAAGCATTTATAATTAATGTTTATATCCAGCATAGCCAACCGAAATTCTCGCCACCAGTTATCTTAAGCAATTGCTTCATGTCTGAAATGGGTGGGTGGGTGTATAAATATATATATAATCGTAAGACCTCAACATGAATATCATGGCAAGTATTATAATTAATAATTATTAATGGCACCTACAGCTAATTTGGTTCAATGAAGGGTGCGGTGGTAAAAATGTTTAAAATATACAATATGCTTCAAAGCCTCCACGATTTCGCGCCGCCAGTGCTCGCCACTTACAGACCTAACACGTTTACACCATTAACGATTTCCACCAAAAAAGAATTTCCTTTTTTGTGGAATGATAAAATGTAATCTACACCAGAAATTAACCAGACCATAATAAATTAATCTCTGAAAAAACGACATGGAAAAAAACGTCAAAAATGTATTTTTATCTAAATTATTTTTAATCATCGATTTTAAGTTTATTAATAAAATAATGGCATAATATTACTATGAACAATTTGGTAAAACATAAAAATATAAATTAAAATTAAAAATAATAGTTTTAAAAAACCACAAATATCGAATAGTATATAACATGGTATAGCTGTTATATATATAAAAAAAAAATTAACAATAGTTTTAAAAATCACAATATCGTATAGTATATGTTATGGCCTTTAAAAGAAATTGGGATACCTCCCTTTTTATCTAAAAATCACACTCATCGTTTTTAAGTTTATTAAAAAAATAATAGCACAATATAGTAATAAACTATTTGGTGAAATATAAAAATTCAAATTAAAATAAGAAATAACAGTTTTAAAATTCACAAATTTTGTATAATATATGCTTTAAAAAAATTGGGATATCTCTTTCTCCACTTGAATATTCTTTACATATATTTTTTAATTAATTTTGTAACTCTGCATAAATCTTCGGGTATTTTTTTTTTTAGTTATATCTCAAATGCATTTTGAGCTAATTTTGTTTCATAATTCGTTACCTCCTGTCGGATTCTCGTTATAAATACCCATATATATTAATGGCAATGTCCCACTATAACTTTGAAAATCTACGATTAGCCGGACACCTTCCAATTACTATATACAGCAGAGCTAGTTCCCAGATTTTATATTATAGACTAAGATTTTTATTTAAAAAATGTATTTCTAATCAGGTTTTATACTATATTTGAGTAGAATAAAAAATGTTATTTACCTCGTGTTTATCAGCTATATGACTATGGACTTTTACAATTTGAGAATGTCCAATCTAAGTCCGTGTACCTATATTGTTCCTCAACATTTCGATGAAAGTTCTTTTGTACATATCCACGTTAATCGTTTACGTCCTTTATGTTTCAATATATATGTATATTGTATATCCTCTCCAACAAATTTTTTTCCCACCTTTGTTAGACTTAATAACTTCCATATTTTTCAAAAAACTACGGTTATATACTTATGTATCACGTATTCACGTCGAAATGTAACTGACGCTTAGAATTGACACAAAACGAACGGAAGTTTCAGTTTATATCGATAATCCTATCACCGTTATCCAAAATAATACGTTTCAAATCTATATTATACCAAATACTCAATATGTTATAGGATTTTAGTTATATTTTTGTTTATATATATACATATATTATATCCTATATCTACAATTTACGACAGTCAGGTATTTGGTATGGGTTCGATAAGACGCTTAATATAAGAATGGATAGGACATGCCAGTTTCATATAGGGCCCTGTGCTTTTTTGGGGAAGAGAGACTATTTATTGTGTTGTTTTTACCGAACGTCTTGATCGGAGTATTGTTGAGGCCGTTAAATGGGTCTTATAGTATAATATAATATAACTATATGAGGTACAATGCGTTCATGGTTTTATAATGTATACGGTGTTGACTGCGTACCCTCTGATAATGGATTGTGATGTTTTTACTGAAAATCTGATCGGAGAGGTGTTGAATATTATGTGTGTACAAACTAAAAGGAGTGCGAATATATTATATGCCTAATACGTATGTATAAGTAAATTGAATCATCTCACATCCCGTGTGGCTCATCGTTATTGGTTATCCCGTGTTTTTATTTTAAGTATAACAGGACCTAGAAATATTAAATATTAAAATACTGTGGCTTACTGGCTTGGCGTAAGAAGGTCAAATGTCACATTTTGACAAAATTGAGATTATTTGACCAATGTCATTAAAATTCGCTTATGTTACTTGTGTTAAAAGGGTCGATGTCTCTTATGCTATATGACCAAATTAGATTTGACATTGGCCTTTTGGCAATAATCGATTTATTATTAGCCTATATCAAAATTGGCCACATAGTATCTATAGTCACGATATTGGCCATTTCAAAATCAATTGATCTACATTTTATAAATGTAGAAGTTACTAACATTATGCTCAATTGAATATTATAATTAGGTTTTCATAAAAAAGTCAAGTACTTTAATTATTAAAAATTGATTATTTTAAATTTCAGTTTTTGGCCAATGTCAAACCAAAGTAATTTTATTATTTTTTCTGGGGGGACAATGTCAAACTAAAACGTACATAGGTATTTATACTCAACAAAAAATTTAAAATTCATATGTAAATTTTAAAAATTGGACAATTTAATATTTTAAATTCCTGAACATTATCAAAATATGATATTTGCTCTTCTTGCAACAAGCCACATAATAGTATTATTTTGTTACAACACGATGGTTTCTATATTAAGACTTATAAATTATAATAAGGTACTAAAAATGGCTTCACATATTATGTAACTTAATTAAAACAGCCATAGACTTCATTAATTATTTTAGTATAATGAAACATTTAATAAAACAATGTATATAAATTATCTTTTACTTACATTGTATCACAAAAAAAAATAGTACCTGTAAGCGTATATATGATGTCTAGTGTGTACTATGTATTATATTACGTACGTGTTAATTAAATAATCTAATGTAGGTAATCTAACAAAACAATATAAATCTTATTTAGTGTTGTATCACAAAAGAAAGTAGGTATACGCAGGAGTACCTAAAATAAAAAAAAATAGTATAATGAGTAAAAATATTTGTATTTATATAATGTGCTTGAACATAAGTAGTATTAAATAATTAAATATTACTAGGGCAGAGGAATTATAGCTCTAAAAAACCACTAAATATGTGAGCACTATTATGCACTTAAAAACCCTATAATATGCACTTAAACATTTTTTTAGCGATTTTATTTAAAAGTAATAATAAAATAAATAGTTTATAAAATAATTCAAAACAATTACATAATTTAAATATATTTTATATACCATTGCCAAATAAACTAAATTCATTTTTATTAATTTTCTATTTATTTATATCTATTAATAAAATTAATTACAGCAAATTGATTTATTGGCTTATCGGCGATCCCCAAACGCTTCTAGGAAAAACTTGTGATCGCGGACAGTCAAAAACCATATTATGCTACAAAAATTCAAATAAATTAATATAAATACATTTTTATCTAAACATTTTGAAAATATTGTTTAAAAGAAAAATTACGGTGTTTAAAAAATTAATTTGAGTTATATATGTCTCAAAAAGTATAAAACTGGGTATAAAAGTGTAAAATATTCCCTAAAAACAAAAAGGACTAGCTTTTTGAGAGTATGAAACATATTTTTCTCGTACTTTGCTATGTTTGTGAATGTGCAAAACAAATATACAAAAGCTAGAATTCCTCTGCCATAATTATTATTACCAGTTTATTGTATAATTAGTTTCTTATAGCAACTTTACGTCTTTACAAGATTAAACTGAAATATAATTGTATAATTATGTACTTGAACAGTTGAACATATTAGTTAGAAATTATTTATTTATTTATTTATTAAATAAAATTTTATTTAAATAGGCTCAATTACGGCGTGTAATATTATAAAAATTAAAAATTAGAATTAAAAAAAACAAATAAATACCAAACTTACATTACATTTTTAAATATAAAATATAACTCGTTTACTGATGAATATCGTGAATGTTTAATTTGTAAAGGAAAAAGTCCAATCCTGACTAATTTCCCTGTAACTCCAAACATCTCTCTTATGGGTTATGACCATACTTATTTCGGTGAATATTGATATGAAGTGAAATACATGTTCCGCAGTTTAAATTGAGGTATGGGAAAATAAATACGTTCTAAAAATAGAAAACAAGTTATTGAGTCATTTATTATCATTGAAAGAAAATTAATATATAATATATAAGTAAGTACCTATATAAAGGATTGAGATTAAGACTTTTTTGAACGTCTTTTAAGAAGCTCATACACGATCAATATTCGATATTTACAATACAATTGTGAATCGACCGACTATTAGTTGTATTGATCGTGTATGGGTCGCTTTAAAGTATTACAGTCATTATTATTTAATGTCAAGACTTGAAGAAGTAGTAGATAAGGTCAAAACATTGTAAACATATAGTAATATTTGAAAAAAATAAAACGATAAAATAGTAGATGTAGAATGTTTTTAGTACCTACGTGATATATAAATATAAATATAAATTATAATAATTGATTTCATTGTAATTTACCTAATGTTTAATCAAGTCTCCCAAGGCCGCTTCACCTCTATAATAGAAATTGCACATCCATGTACTACCTTGTTTTTGGTAAGTTGAAAACGAAATTTGTAAGTTCCATAAAAAAATTGTTTTGGTAAATTGGCATACATGTCACTATTAAGTTTTATTCCAGATGCTATATAACGACCCTAGAAATATAAATTATATTTTTAGATTTTGAGTGAAAATATGAGTGTATTGATTTTACAATGATGTGTGTTTTTTTTTTAATTTCTTTAATTTTTTTTTTGTGTCTATCATCACCTTTGTAATATCATAGGCTGATTAACCGTTTTCGCTTAAAAATTTAATAGAAGGCTCCTAATATATTGTTTCAAAGACAGATGAAAAATATTAAAAATCCTTAGTGACAGTTTTTTGTGATAGGCATTTAAAGTTCAAATATTGACAAAATACTGACGTAAAATTGACGAAAATTTGCAAATTGTTTCGAGTTAGAAACTCATGAAAATTTTTCTTTTTAAATCTATGATATGAAAATGTAACACAAGATTCCTCATAAGTTTGTGTACCTTTATCAAAACAAAAATATCTAGAAGAAACTCAAATTAAATTTTTATGAGCTTTTGAAATTCATATCTTTACAACATTTGATATTCACTCGATTTCTCATGTAATGATTTTCTAATTTTGTTGTAATTAAAAAATGAATGACTGTAGATACTTGAACGTTACTCCGAATATTTTTATTAGCATTTTCTATACACCATACAATTTTGAAAATATTTTGACTCTTTTTGAGCTGTTTACGGACATTGTCAGTTTTCAATTTTTTAGTTTTTTTCCACTATAAATATCAATAAAAAAGTGATTGTTGGTTAAAAAAGTTTGAAAATGTAATGCAAGGCTCCTGATTTATTGTTACAATAGCAGTTGAAAAACATTGAAAATACATAGGCACAGTTTTCTTTTAAAAGCATCTAAAGATCGAATTTGGACAAAATGTATCAAATTTAAAATTTAAATTATTTTATTATTATTTTTAGTTAAAAATTTATAAAATGTTCAACTTTTATAGCTAAGGATTAAAAATTTAAAAAAAGGGTTAACATAAACATAGGTTATATATAATAATTACTTTATTCACAATAATATTATCAAATATACTTTGTAAGTAAATGACCGAATCGTCCGAATTTAAACATAAAATAACTATAAAAAAAAATAAATATTTTTGAGGTTTTTTGGTTACAAAATAACCTACTTACGAACCTTGTTTGAAAATTTCAAAGCTTAGCCACAAAAGTTGAACATTTAATACATTATTAACTACAAAATTATTTTCAAATTACTAATTTGATAAATGATGTCAAAAATCGAACTTTAAACGCTTATAAAAAATAATTTTGCCAATGTGTTATGTTGCCAATATTTTTCAACTACTATTGAAACAATATATCAGGTATCAGGATCCTTGTATTAAATTTTCACGCTCTTTGACCCAATAAACAAAATTTAATTGAAAATAATAGAAAAAAAACTAAAGAAATTTAAAACTAACAATAATGTCCGCAAAAAGCTCAAAAAAAAATCAACATTTTATCAAAATATTATGGTGTATAGAAAATAAAAATTTAAACAATTAGTGAAATTTTCATGTATCTACAATTATACGTTTTTGAATAACAACAAAATAATAAAATCGCTACATGAGAAATCGAGTAAATATCTAATATTGTAAAAATATGAACTTCAAACGCTCATAAAAATTTAATTTGATTTGCTTGTAGAATTTTTTTTATTGATAAAGGTAGATAAACTTATGAGAAATCTTGTATTACATATTCAAATATTAGATTTAAAAAAATATTATGAATTCTTAACTCAAATTAATTAGCTAATTTTTGTGGTTATTCCATATTTTATTAGTATTGGAACTTTGAATGCTTATAAAATAAAACTTTAACTAAAGATTTTAATATTTTTCAAACGCTATTGTAACAAAAATTGTTATTCTGTATTATATTTTCAAGTTTTTCGTTTTTCATGTTGGTGTTCCCAGCGCTTTTGAAAGCTATTGGGAATTTTGACCTCCCGAATGTTCCAACTATAGATTGACTTTCCCATCGAACAAGATACTGTAGTTGAAAATCAAAGCATTATTTCGATTACTTATCATGTACACAGACACACACAAAAAAAAAATTTAAAAAGCACACTTCATTGTAAAATCAATACATTCATCTCTCCGGGCAGAATCTAAAATATCAAAAAAAGGAAAAAAATCAATAAATTTAAGAAAAAGTTTATACAATTATATACAATCATCATTTATATCTTTAGTAAAAATACAATTTTTTTAATAGCAGATTAAAATGCAAATTTATTACCGAGACAATTGTATTTGTATTTTGGATTTCCTATATTATGTTTAATATTGGGTACCTATACCTACTATTTAATAATATTAAAAAGTGTAAATGTTAATACATGTATTTACACAGTTGTAAATATAATTATGTAGGTTCAAAATATTATAAATTTATAACTACATAATATCAATTTATTCTTTTGATAAGAAATTAATAGGAGAAACTATAAGATGTTCATGAACACTATTCATAACAAATAATGTTCATAAAAATCTACATCACTGTACGATAGTGTTGCACAATACATAATACATATACATACGTTCTAAAATCAAAATGCAGTATATTATATTAAATTGATATTGATATATTTTTTATTTATATAATACTTCCATACCGCGGGAATAGGACAATTTACATTGTGCATTCCTATGTTTTCCGTAAATGTAGTCCAAAATGGTCCTGCCCACATTTTCAGTGACGAGCAAGCTTTAGGTGTCTTAAAAACATGAGCATTATCCCTCCAACCACCAACAGAATCTTTTACCGCCAAATTGATCTCAATCTATAAAGAAATCAATTTTAATATTTTTGCTAATTAATGTACTTGCAGGTATGTACTTTTTGTGAACTAGGTATCTGAAAACTCTAAATTTGCAATTTGTACAACAATAAATCTATATTATATCATAGATGATTTAATAACTATAACAACTAAACGTACTTCAAGAGAAAATATACAATTTAATAACAATAATAACTATACTTACATTAAAAGAATCATCAAGTGGTTCATTAAAGGTAGCGTTTCCTTTAATTTCTGTGGTGTTGACAGACGTTTTGCTTAGGTAATAATTAAATTTAATTAGGTCAGTCGATAATTCACAACGTAACAATGCTATGGTATTTATTTTGTATTCACCCTGAAGAAAATTATAAAATAGCTTTAAGCTGTATTATATTACGTATAAAGAATTAGAGGAGTTTCTTTTAGTACAAAGCTTTATTGACAGATATACCAAAAATTAAGAACTTACAACCGGTAATTGTGGTAAAAACAAAGGTTTATTTGTTGCATCCGAATTAGCAGCAATTGCAAAAACAATAAAATAAAATAAACACTTCATTTTTCTTCTAAAATATTACACCCACACACGCATCAACACAGTTTGTTGTTCTACTGTTATTCAGAGTCAAATTATTAAAGGTCCGATGGTTCAATGATTTTACTTTTAATCATCGCATGTAAATTATTATTATATATTGACCTTGCTTTTAGTATTTTTGCTGTAGATACTATTTAGATATATATTACCAGTTGTCTTCCAGGTGAACAGGTAGTCTATTGATCGTATGACTCTTGTTATGCATTTCATACGAAAATAACCTCCAAACAGCTTCTGGTGGACTGACGTACCGTGAGTTTATGTAACTGAAATCAACATCAACGTATATCATAAACAATCAGGAATAAAATAATATATATATATATATGCATACATCTAAACACATAGGAATGAGATTACCTCACAATGAATATTTGCTTTAGATTACAATAAATAATGTTAGGTTGACGTTGCATACAAATATATCTAATAAGTGTAGAGTGTAGTTAATTATTATTGTATTAAAGTGGTATGCTATGTTATTGTAGTTAACAAAATGTTGTTATTATTATTATTATTAATCAACTATGTGTCCAAGGAAAATATTAAAACAAATAATAGTGATTAAAATTGAATCATTATAAATTGAGCAGCATTATTGGTTCATAAGTCACAAAATGAAATGTAATATTTTTATATTGTATAATATGAATATTAATGAAAATAAAATTTACCAACAACATCTATCACATATTATACAGAATAACACTTAAGGTAACATTACTGAGATTGATGCAGCTTTGAAATGATTTCGGTTGACTGTTGGACAATGTTAATACCATTTTTATCATCATAATAATAAGCCAACACAATAATGATAGATGGAATGTAATTTAAAAGTCGACAATTAAAACTATAAGTTTAATTCAATTACTTTTCAATTTCATCTCCATTCCAAATTTCCAAGGTAGCTGCGTCATGGCCCTTGTAGACGTATTTATACAAATACATTACGCTCTTCACGGTAGAGCACACCTCAACGTTTATGTGTGCATCATACTTGACCAGCAAGTATGGGTTGTGTGGGGCAACAAACTCATTGCCGACAGGATGACCTCTGACGTTGACCACAAGTCCATTGTTCGGTCTACGATAAGTCGGGTAACCACCATCAGAAATGAATACAGTCTCCTCGCTGTATTCTTTGGGATATTTCTTCGTACAACCGTTGTCCACCATACACGGACTGTTGCGATTGAGTGGTCCACACGGACCATGAATCATGTGCGATTTCACACTGTCGAGTAGGCGCCTTTCGGATGCAGGGTCAGGCAAGTAGGCACACACAACATTGTCGACGTCGTCGGCAGTAAGTAACTTGCTGTCCTCATCCAAGATGATGAGTATATGTGCGTGTGGAAGACCACGTTTTTGAAACTCAATGGTGTAAACATAAGCATCTACATTACCAAACACCTTATTGACCGTGATGTCACGCATTAGCTCCTTCAGTTTTGCGTGAAACACCCTCGCCACCAAATCAGGCCTGTCGGTTGCCGTCAACCAACGCGGAATGTTGTCTACTATCTCTGGCCACCTAGGGTTACACGTAAATGTTATGAATAAATCAGGCTTTCCGTACTTACGCACAATGGACATTGCGTCGTGGTAACATTGTTTCATGTACCGAGGGCCGCCTAGGAATGTCGAAGGCAGAATTGTCCTGCGGCCGACCGGATTGATTTCGTCTAGGTGGAGCTGTTGGTTAATATGGTCCAGAAGGCCTTGATAGGCGTCAGCAAAGAGTGCTCTCTGGTGGTCTCGGATGTAACGTAGATTGTTCGCTTCCATGCGAACATAGTGATCACATGTATACTGCTGTAACAAAAAACCAGCTGCGTGTAATAAACTAAACGTATGGCCTTCATTCCCATTGCTATTGGTTCCGGTGTATCTGATGGCCAGGCGATAAGAAGCAAACTCTCTGATAGAGTTCCGAACACGCACTGCGTTCCGGCGAACGCCCTCTTGTTGCAGGTTGTAATGCCAGCCGGTTTCTCCATGTGGGAAGAGCAATGAATACAGCATTGGATCTGCATGAGGTGAGCCAGCTGATATGCTTTGCATCCGGTGATTTGGGTCAACTGGGTTCGAGTCATAGATGACCAGATCGAGGTTTCCTGGTGGTAGACCATCTTCTCCAACAAAGACAACTGCTACCTCGTTCACATGAGCAGCTGGTTGATTGTATCGCCGTGGGTCATTATTCGGGTCGGCGACGATGTGCATGGTCACCCTTTTCGGTTGCAACATTGGATTGCCCGCAGCAGCGTCTTGTTCCCTTTGCCATACTTGTCGCATGTTTCTGTAAGAAAATAATATTGTGTTATTATTAAAGCCACATGATATATCCACATTTGTGTACAGTAGATGGATAAAGTATAAATGTTATCCATAGGCATGTGCAACTTGATAAATAAATATTACAGCACACAGTATATTTTATGTAATTCGGAAATGTAACATATTACTAAGCACACATACTGGAAACTATGATATACAATTTTGCATAGAAGTATTAAGTAAAAATGTCGCTTGGGTACAATACACACTGTAATGGAAATGTACACAGAAAAAGTAAAATCAATATATATATGTATATTGTTATATACATGTGCCATATATATAGTATAGTTAATATGAAATTGTAAGGAGCTGTTTGAGTTTAATTGTATCGTTTAAACCTAAAATAGGTTTTTTAATGAGTAAGTAGTAATTATAATGTAAAGTATAATTTTTTAAACAAAAATGTTGCACTACTGTCTACACGAATGTGTATTCAATACAATAACCAAAGTCATTAGTTGTATCATTTAGTAATACGTAAAAGTGCAATATCTATACAAATGTAATGTGTGTTCAACACACTACAACTTGATGTAATATTTTTATTTGATTATGTATATGTTAATAATTTAAAGTAATATATATTACTCAAAAGCCACCGCAAATGGATTGATTCGCCGTAACATTGTGTCCAAGTCTGCAAGCAAGTTCTCCAATAGTGGTCGTTCACGTGGCTGTTGTGCCATGCGAATCTGATTTGCTGCCCCGGATTCAATAAAATACAACTCACAATACCTTGGTTGCATTTGTTCATTTCTGACAACATCATTACTAATCCTACGATATACTTGCCCGTGAACGGTGAATACTCTTGGTCCCTGACCAGGCAAACGTCTTGGGCTCAGATCAGTGGAGAAAGCCGCAAATGCCAGAGTGTTGTTGTACCTGCGGATTTCTTTTCGAAAGTGTTTTCCTACCTGTGAATCATCAACCAACAAACGAATTAATAACTCTGGCGGTGGACCCAAAACACGGTCTCCTGTAACAGCCATTTGACCGTTATTGCAACACGTAGAAAAATGACCCGTTGAAGTACGTTCGCAGGAGAAATGGCGGGCACCACAGTGCCGGCAGACAACATTCAACGGTCCTAGGTCATGCCGATCTGGAAGTTCGTGTTGAATGCCAGCCGGACGGTCTCTGAAGGGCGCACGTGCTCTCGGTACAACAGGAGGAATCGGTATGATCTGCAATTAAAATGCACTGTTATTAAGAATTTAATGTTATAAATGTTTATTTTAATTTTAATAATATGTATTTACTAACCTCTTCATTGACGTCTGGTAATAAAACGTCAATTGCGTCCCTGAATTCAAATTCTGCCTCTGCGTCAGCAGGAAGTAAATCTACATACTCGATGTCATCTTGTACCACTTCCTCTCGTAGCATTTCTTCTTCAGGTAGGTCCATCATTACATCTTCCACTTGGACTTCGACAACTTCTATCTCCATGCCGTTGTTACCGGGGATTGCCACTTCCACTTCCAGTTGTCCACCTGGTGCCGCAATGTCAAGGAGTGGTTGAACTACCTACAGTATCATACAAAGTCCGTTGTAATTGTGTGTATAAAAACAATCTCAAATATTATCAGCTTAAATATTCAATGTATGTGTTGCATGCGTTATTATTAAGATGATATTTAACTGCATATCAATGACATGGGAATTAATAAGCATATAAAAATCAGCTCACCAATAGAGAATGTAATAAGTACAACACATTTATAATTAAATCAATTAAAAACAGTGCATATAGAGGATGGTACAATACATTAGTTAGTAAAATTTATGGTCCATGTAATAGTGAATCACACCGAAGAATGAATGAAGTTGAATAGAAGCATCTCAAATGTTATAAGATTATAAGCATTCAACATATTATGTGATATTATAATAGTGTTTTATTACTACACACATACCAATGACATGTGACTTAATATAAGCATATAAAAATCAGCTCACCGATAGGGAATGTAATAAGTACAGTACATTTTGAATAAATAAAAAACAGTGTGGAGAGCATATTGTAATCGATTAGTTAGTAACATTTAAACTACACGTTCTAGTGAATTGCATTGCAGACCGAATAAAGGTCAATAGCAGCAATTGTTGAATGATTATAGCTATGAAATAATGTAAGTAATTATTGTACATAAATAAAATGAATTGTAGCCTAGAGAATGTATCCCCTCTGATAATAACGAAAACAATACATTTAAGATACACATTGAGGTGTTATAGAAATGGAAGTGTAGAAAGAACAAAAGTATTATTGTAATTAGTTCAATTAAAATTATTAGAAAAAATACTTTATTACATTTGAATAGTAATAATATGAATTGAACAATTGGTATTTCAATGTAAAGTAATTTAATGAATTGTGTCTATATAAGCATGATATTATATGTTAATGTTAATAAATGAATGACACCGTACGACATTATGTAATAATAATTATTAACTTAATGCAATTGCTACAATCTAAGTTGTGTTTGTGTATGGTTTGGTGTAGTATTGTAACAGTGTCATTGGAATACCTAATGAAAATAGTCATGATACACTCACTAAAGATGGCACCGCTCTTGAGAAGAGACGACGACGATGATGTGTTTCTC